CCGTGGGGGAGGAGGGTGGCGGTGGGCGACTTCCCAGGGTCATGCCACGGCCACGGGGCGGGAGAGACCTTGCTTCTGTAATTTGGGGAGGTCAGAGGTCGCTGGCACGCACACTGCGTATTATCAGATCTAAGCTGGTTTTCCCCAGCGTGACACCTGTGGCTTGGGAGGCCAGGGATTCACACGGTCACAACCCGGGTGCCGTTCAGCAGAGACCTTGCTTCTGTAATTTGGGGAGGTCAGAGGTCGCTGGCACGCACACTGCGTATTATCAGATCTAAGCTGGTTTTCCCCAGCGTGACACCTGTGGCTTGGGAGGCCAGGGATTCACACGGTCACAACCCGGGTGCCGTTCAGCTGCTCAGAAAAACCCGCAGAGCCCAGAGACAAGACCACCGTTACGGGCATCAGCCAGACAGGGGTGCCTGGAGAACATCGCCAGCGGGGCAGCTCGGGACAGCACAGATAAACATGGCGGGAGGGGCACAGCGGCGAAAGATACTTCATAGCTTTCTGTAAAGTGCATAACTACAGAACTAAATCACATTCTTTCCAATAGATAACACACCACAGAATCACAGACTCACAGCATGGTGAGGGTTGGCAGGGACCTCTGTGGGTCATCCAGTCCAACCCCCTGCCGAAGCAGGGTCACCCAGAGCAGGCTGCACAGCACCGCGTCCAGGCGAGGTTTGGGTATCTCCAGAGAAGGAGACTCCACAACCTCCCTGAGCAGCCTGGGCCAGGGCTCCGTCACCCTCAGAGGGAAGAAGTTCTTCCTCGTGTTCAGCTGGAGCTTCCTCTGCTTCAGTTTGTGCCCATTGCCCCTTGTCCTGTCGCTGGGCACCACTGGAAAGAGCTTGGCCCCATCCTCCTGACACCCACCCTGCAGATATTTGTAAGTATATATTAGGTCCCCTCTCAGCCTTCTCTTCTCCAGGCTGAACAAGCCCAGCTCCCTCAGCCTCTCCTCGTAGCAGAGACGCTCCAGTCCCCTCCTCATCCTCGTAGCCCTCCGCTGGACTCTCTCCAGTAGCTCCTCATCTCACTGCCTAAATCATTCAGGTGCCACATGTCGCTAGTAAATTAACTCCAAACCAAGAAACGTGGTGATGCCCCAATCTCCCTATTCAAATAGATAATTGTATATTTTCTCAACTTCCACACAACACAAACCGGTTTTTGTTCACTTTGAAGCACAGTCATGTGTAAAGAACGCAAACAAGTCAGCCCCAGCTCTCCAAACACAAAGGCACGTGCCTGTTTACTGCAGCCTCGCTCTGCAGCACCTGCAGACATCTCTTTAGAGAAATCTGCACTTTTCAAAGCAGAACGGGCAATAACCGAGATGTCAGAGCGGATCTTGAGGCACTCACCACCGACTCGTACCAAACTGACTCTGTCGAGAAGAGCGCTGGGCCTGTAGGTGGGATACAAAACCTGTCCAAGCAAGCAACCTGACGGCACACGCTCTCCGAGGAGAGCTGCGTACCCCTGCCAGGGGGGAAAGCACGTGGCAGAGGCCCACCCGCTTCACCTCGGATCACCACAAAAAGGGTTTTCACATCGCTGTCGGGGAGGACCTCTCCCGAGTACTCCGTGTTAGCTGGTCAGAGCGTTCAGTGTGGCTTCACGGGAGAGGAATCGCTGTGACCCTTTTGTGCTGTGGGAAGATCTCCACACAGCTCCTTTTGTACGGGGGAGGCTGTTGTAATCCCTCCTCTTGTTCCAGTACACGGTGGTCTTCCCATTTTTTCTATGTAAAAACAAAACAAGAAAATAAAATGCCTGCTTTCTGCCAGTTGCTGTGGTAACCCAAAATAACCAGATATCCTAAGGAAGCGAAACTTCTAGGAAGAGAACTGCGAGAGTAAGCCCCCTTTTTCTAAAGATGTCAGCTTTGCGTTTCTTCTATTTAAGCAAGGAAAGCACTTGACTTCTGCTCATTCCGACGGGTATTTTCTGCCTTTGCAATAGAATGAATTTTGCCTTGTTGGCCTGCCCACAAGCTGCGTGTCCCTCGGTAGACCTCCGGGGTTCTCAGCGTCTCGTCAGAGCTCTGGCTTCAGCTGGACTCCGCAAGGTCTTGGCTGGAGGCCCTCAGCTTCTGCTGGGCTAAGGGTGGCGTGCAGCGTCCTGCAGGCTCGAGCATTCAATGTATGGTTCTGTTTTTCAGTCTGGCTGGTGCCGTGCTTCCAACTTAATTAAAGTATTCAAATCACTCAAAACCCCATGTGCCTGTCACTGCCTGCTCATGGAAAAATGAGCCTATGCCGAAAATTCTACATCTCAGGGGCTGGAAGTTGACAGATGGATGCCAGATCCTGAAGTTTAGGAGTATGAAAGGTAGGAGCACTCCTATGCCTAACGCTGCACGTGCAGGATCAGTTCTTTATTCCCTCATGAGTATGATCTTGTTCCAGAAAAAGGAATCTTAATGCAGTAAATACAGAAGTGCAACATCCCCTTTTTGGAGTGAAAAGTAAAACTGTGGCACAGCTTTAACGCCTGCCCCCGAGCACTTCTGGTGTGGCCGCGCGTTGCCTGCGGGCTAGTTGGTGGTCCACCGCAATTTCATCTCATTCTCATCTCAGGCAGCAGGACACGTCTACATCTGTCCTCTCGCCTCCCAGGTCCGCTCCTGAGCATCCCCCTTCCAGCGGTGTAATGCCAGACAGCCGTCGAATCTGGGCACAGCTGCTGTTCACGAAAGTCTGGTTAGTAACAACCACCTGTTGTTACTGTGTGGCTCCACAGAAGTTTTGCCGGAAAATGCTCAGGCACAGAAAATAGATGTTTGCATTAGACTAGTGGTGTGCCAGGAGGGCGGCAGGACTCGCACGATTATCTGCAGCGTGGAATGTAAAATGGATGTGCAGGAAGGACAGACAGTCCCAAAGGACGTAGTCATCTTCCAGATGAAAGTATCTTTTACAATCAGCACCTTTTATTGTTGCTTTACAAATCGTATCTGTCATGCACTTTTAGAAGTACACAGAGGGCGGGCACTTGCATTTCACGAGTTTTTCACGGGTATTCAGCATGGGCAGAGGCACTGCGCAGCAGCTGCACTTCTGCAGCAAATGGGAAATGTGTCTTCGCCTTGCTTGAAAGAAAGGCTTTTATCAAAACACGTTTTATTCCTTCTTGCGTGACATGTAGGGTTACTAATTTCCATATTAAAGTTTGGAGACAAAAGCAATTAGTGGCAATTTCACCTTAGAGACTAAAGATGCTGACTATGTGTTTTATCCCCTTGCATTTTTGTGATCTTACTGTCTCACTGGAATCATAAAATATTACAGGAATGCATGCATTTTCTTGGCCACTTACTAGTTTGATTTCTACCTAACAATTTTCTAGCCTTGCATTCTGCTTTCACAAACTGGTAAACAATTTCATTCATTTAAAATACATTCAAACTACTTCAGTTTAGATCATTCACCTCTTTAATGTGGAAATAGATTATTGAAAAAGCAGCAGCCACTAGCAGCCAACATGCATCTCCACCTGAAACAGAGGAGAGAGGTGTTGCAGAGTCTCTCTGGGGCAGGAACACCTGCAGGTGATGATTCTCATGGCAGAGCCAAGTGGGAGCCCAAGGACAGAGGCAGGCTGTGATCTGGAGGCAGCCGGGCTTTGGCAGCGCTATCAAAGGGCTGCGTTTTCTGCACCGCAGTGACTACTCCTGCCCAGTGATCCAGGTTAAAGCCCCAGGATTGAGGTATGGAGCAGGAAGAACCAGCCAAGGGCAGAGAAGGGAGGTATTTCCCTCAGCTGATACTGCCACCAAAACTCAGGTGCTGGAAAATGCTGACCTGAGGAAGGAGTCTGAATAGCTTTGGTGCGTCACCCCGGAAAGAGTCTGAGAGGGGCAGCAGGGGGACAGTGCCTCCGCTGGGGTAAGAGGCTCTCTGGCTGTTCAAGTCTTCCTTTGCTCAAGGCAGCTGACTTTCTACATTCTTGTAAACAAGCAAAAATTGCATCCAAGGTGCCTGGCTCCACTAATAACTGCTCCTTCTAACTATTCAAGACCCAAAGACTTCATCGATCCACATAAGTCAAAAAGAAGTCACAGCTCCCAAGTCTGGATTTGGCAAAGACTTTTTGCCTGGTGACTTTTAAAAATCATTCCT